GGGACACGGAGCCGGCGGGCTCTCGCGCTCGCAGCGAGCTCACGCCTCCGGACGCACGTGTCTGCGGGTCTGACCGGGCCACAAAGCGGCCCTGCCGCGGCGGCCGGTGGGCGCTGGGGCCTCCCTGGAACTCCACAGCCGGAGGATCCTGAGGGCGGGGGCTGCGGTGGGAGTGGGTCCCAATAGCCCCCATGCCCAGTTCCTGGGTGGCTCCTGGCCGTGGGCCCCTTACCCAACGGGAACCACCCAGCTCCTACCCTCGGAAGAGCCTCCACACCAGGCTCACCACCCATCTTCCTAGGCCCCCAGGAAGACAACCAAGACTTGGCCTCAGTCACTTCCAGTTCCCACCACCCACCATGCATGAGCCCCTCACAGACAGAGGCTGCCCAGATGGCTGTCTCAACCCGGGGCTCTCTGGGGCTCAGACACAAGACATTCAGCCTTCTCACACCTCTTTTGGGGTGAGCTGCACCCATCTGTCCTTTCCTCCCCCTCGTTTCACCTCCTCATCCTTCAAGCCTCCCTTTTTGGTTGGTAGTGCTGGGCCTCAGTCTAAGGGCTCCTGACCTTACAGGTGGCTGAGCCTTCTCTTTAGCTTCCTGTCCACACCTCAGACCAAAGCCACGGTGTCTTTTCTTTCTGACACCTTTCAGTTTCACACTGATCACACCAGACCCTGCCGCTTACCTTCCAACCCAACCAGAGATGGGCAGCACTCTGCACCCTCACAACATGAATCTCATGGTTTTCTTCTTTCCAGTTATAGGAGCCCCCATCCTGCTCCCACTAACTCATTCCCGCTAAAATACACGCTGAAACAATTTTGACTGTATCTGAAAGGTTTTCAGCTTACCCCTCATAGACCTAAGAGGATCCTGAAAGTCCTCACTGGTGCAGCCCACCCTGTGCTCTCTGCTCGGAACTCCTTCCCTCAATTGAATGAGTATATGTATTTGGAGACATTAGCATCTGACCCTTTGCTCCCTGGATCAGTTGTTACTGACTCCCTGGTCAATGGCTCTGGACTCAGCAGTGGTGACTCCTTGCAACAGCCACATATACAACCTGCCGGCAGCCAGATCTCTGGCTTCAGGTCTTATTTCCCTTTACAACAGCCCACAAGCTGGAAGTACAAGCACTGGATCAGATACCCTCCAACACCAGTTATTCCTCAGGAGCCTGCAGTGTTCATTTACTCATCCCCATTCTTCAGATGAGGAAACTGAGGCTCAGGGAGGTCAGACTTCCCAGATTGACTACAGTTGGCAGAGATTGAGCCCCAGCCTGCTGATCCTGAGGCCTGCTCTGACTCCATGCCTTCCCTTTACAATACAAGGCCACAATGGATGCAAGGGTAGGTGGTATCTGGATAGAGCTGGGGGGCAGGCTGGGTAGGGCCTGTGTGTGCGTGTTTGCTCTCTTCCATGTTGCTATCCTGTTTCACCCAGGCTGGCAGGGCAGCTGGACCTGTGTAGTCTCTGCTCTATCTGTACAGCCCACTTCCAGATTTGGTCAGTAACTGAAACAGTATGTGGGTTCAGAGTGCCATCTAGTGGCCCAGCTGGGTGCAACCCACACTGCCAGAGCCCCATGGAAGCAGAAATTCCGGATCTTATTCTCCTCCCCTCCACCCTGGCTCTGGACCACAGGATTCCAGCCTGGTCTCCACCCTGATGCCTGTTTCCCAGGCTCAACCTCTCTTCTCGCCCATCTCCATTTGGCCTGAGTCTCTCAGTTCCTGTCTCTGCCCATCTTGGTCTATGTCCTTACCAGTCTCAGCCTAGTCTCTTTTCCTCCATCTTTTTCTCCAAAGAGGGAGAGATGGTGGGCAGATTAACTGAAGAAGTAAAACACAAGGGCGGTGTCTTTCAAACGAGCTGAAGAACCGCAGTGTCAAAGGAAACAGGCCTGCAAGCTGAGGCTAGCTGGGAAGATGAGTCCAGCCAGGGTGGCCTGCAGGATACCCCTGGGCAGCAACTGCAGCTGCAGCAGCCACATGCCAAGGGGAATGCTTCAGGAGAACTAGATCCCAGGCGAAGGGAGTAGCATGATGAAGCCCAAGGAGGCACAGAGGAATCAAATTTTGGTGGTAAGCTGTCAAGAGCCTAGGAGGGGGCTAGCCCCTGACTGCCAGGCTCTCTATCTCTCGCCCCTGCACTGTCTTCCTCCGCATGCTCAGAGCAGAGCGTAGGCCAGTGCACTGTACAGCATCCAGAATACTTTTATTGCCGGAATTGAGGTACAGCCTGCTCAGAGCCCAGGCAGGGCCCACCGCTCAGGAAAAAGTGACAAATGCTGGGTAGGTATACATCAGAGAAAATCCAGTCCATGGTAACCTCGTGGGAGAGCAGCACAGTCCAGTCCAAATGTGGCTTCAGCCCCATGTCTCAGCCTATAGCCATGGTCCACTGCCACCAAGGCAGACCTGGGTTCCTCATCCCTGCTCTGACAGGGACACCTGTCATACCTCTGGGGCAGAAAACCCCCAGGGGGACCTCAAGGCACCTGGCTCTCTCAGAGGCCAACACAAGTTTCGGGGTTAGTCCCTGAATATCAGACACCACTCAGCTGCCTGGTGGAGTTGATGCTGGGTCTGGGAGGGTGAGGGGGAAAGTACAAGCCCTGCCTCCTCTCTGCCCTGTGCCAGCCCACTGGATCCAAGAGAGACCTAACAGCAGGGTGGCAATGCAGTGGTTATCTGCAAATCACAGTTCTGGGCAAAGGGAGCCAGCATTGATACTGCGGCCAAGAGCACACCCAGGGGTCAGGGTACTCAGTCCTCCCCAGAACTGGCGGGCTATCAGCTGTCTGGTCTTGAGCTGAGTGGCTCTTAGAGGTGAGGAGGTAGGCATGAATGCCCCAGGGCTTGGGTACCATGAAGACCCCAACGACCTGCCCCTGCTGGCAGGGGCAATCAGACAGTCCCCAAGAAGCCAGGGAGGTGGCCAAGCAGCTGGGTCGCCAGACAACCCAGCTCCAGCCACCCACGGCCAGTAGCAGGCCTACAGTGGCTGGTATGTGGGGACGGTCACTTAGGGCCAGAAGTTCATCCCTGGGACCACCGGGAGCAGGGACCACAGCTCAGTAACATCTCTCACAGGCAGGCGGAGAGGCCGGGGCCTGGTGGGCATGTGTGAAAAGGCCACAGAGCTAGGAGGTACGCATGGCCCTAGAGTTGGGGACTGGGGCCAGGTGCCAGCCAATCCCCATTCAGAGGTGGTCTTGAGGTCACAATTCTACCATCAGCCACATTTTTTCCATCAAGGGGCCCTTGAGTGTGTCTGGAGTACTGTTTCTTTCCTCATTCCCACAAAGGAAGGATAAGAGACAGCACCTCCTCACAGCAGTCATTTCTCAACCCAAGACCCAGTGGGAAGCCACGAACAGCTGAACTCAAGGGCCATGGCCACTCTGAGGCCAGCAGAAACAGCTGTGGGCAAGCCACCCAGCAGCCCCACTGGCTTGGGGTCAGAGCTCAAGAAGCACCCGTTTCAGATAGGCCAGGGCGATGGGGTTGGCCAGCATCTCGATGTGCTCACTGCCTGGCAGCTCCCTCATAGACACTTGTTGCTCCTGGCGGCCTCGCCAGGCCTGGCAGTGCAGGGCACTCTCCAGATTCACAGTGCCATCGCCATCACCAACGAAGATTTTAGGGTCGCTGTCAGGGAATCTCTCATAGTAGAAAGAGTCTGGCGTGTGGACCCCAATGCCATAGAGGCAGTGCAGCGGCACCCCGGGTGGCACCATGGCTTCAACGAGCCCTTCTGTGTCCTGCCGCATGAGCCAGCCCTCTTTGAAGTCAATGTCCTGGAAGAACTGGACATAGTCCCGCAGCGTGTAGTTGGCCGTGGCCGTGCGCACGAACACCTTCTCAGGTGACCAGGTATAGTTGTAGGGCAGCAGCCAGCTGGTAGACACTGCCGACCGCTGCTGCTCCCGGATCTTCAGGGGACTGATGACGGGGATCCGGTTGTTGTCTCCTGCAGGGAGAGGGCGCCGTCAGTCTGGCTCATGAATGCCGGCTGGCCAGGCAGCATGTCCACCGACCTGGCAGCAGTCCAGTCAGCGCTCCAGCCTCTGTAGCGACATCATTTTAACTCCTGACCCTACAGCGGCATTTATTGCTTTCCTTTTTATTTTTCGCTATAAAACACACAACCAAGGCTTCTTCCTTTCCTTTGGCATTTCCTCACCAGGGATTTGGGCAGCACATACCCACAGTGGTTTGTTATGCAAAAAGCTCCCTCTTCTGAGTACTAAGAGTGGCCGGTGGGCAGTGAGCTTGTGAGAAGTGTTATCAACAGGTGGAAGCCCAGAAGAATGTGCCTCTTTCTCTTTGGCTGCACCAAGCTATGTAACCATTTTGATTTTTCTGGTTTAGCCCTGCAGCCTGCAGTCCTGGCCTCATCTTACTCACCTGCCTTGACCTGGACAGCCAGGGCTGCAGGAGACCCGGCAGAAGGAGAGGCCACAGACAAGAGTGCGAGTCCTCTCACAGAAGCACCAACACCCACCAGTTGAGCTGGATCTTGAGAACAGGGGCCTCTGACCTGATCAGGACCCATCGCCCCACTGCTCTGATGGGCCACCGCTTGGTCTGGTGGGACCTGGCTCTAAAGGCCCAAGGAAAGAAGTCCCACCCCTCTGCACTCTCACCAGGGCCTGCCACGACAGTTTTCACCCGCTGAAAGAGAAGTACCAAAAGGCCAGTCCTAGACCCCCCAAGGCTGCCGGTCTCACATGCAGGGGTGCGCATGTCCATCCCTTCAGGCCCAGGGATGCAGCTGTGATGTGTGTTCACTCTATCTGGACATCTGCGCACTGAGCAGGCCACTGTCCACACTGGGTAGGTGAGTGCTGGGAGAGGCAGTGAGTGCTGACCCAGTCACAATGATCAGCTAACCAACAGCACGGCAGGCAGTGCCAATGATGAAGATGCACCAGAGCCTTGGCTCACGGTTATCAAAGCGAGGGGCTGCTGGCTCACACCAGGTCCTAGCAGAGGGAGGGAAGTACCACAGCTGCAGCTGACGGGTTCTGACAGCCATGACAAGGCAGGTGGGTTGGGGGGATGGGCAAGGAGGTGGTTTTCCCAGCTGCCATGTAAGCAGGCCCAGCCAGCTCTGCACCTGCTTCTTTCCTACATTGCTCAAAGAGGCGCCCCACTACCCACAGATGGAGGCACAACTCATAAACAGGAAACTGTAGTCCAAGCTTCCCGCTCTGGGGCAGAGGCGGGGATGAAGAAGTGGGGGTAAAAGAGAAGGAAAAGACCCTCCCAAAGACCTCTGAGTCAGCTGGGCCTGAGAGTGTATGTGTGTGTACACGTCTTCACAAACAAGTATCTGTGTGATTAATCGTGATGCCGTCCACATACATGCTGTAAGAAACTTACGCAGATAACAAAGGTCAGCAACACTAGAAATTAGGGAATAACATTCAACTGGATATTTGACACAAGCTAAGCAACCTCTATCGTCAGACATATTCCAGATGGAGGGGAAATGCCCTGAAAAAATCAGAATTTCCACGCTAGCTCATGTTATGACCCCCCTTTTCTGTATAATCAAAATATTCCAAGCAACCATCAGTTTTCTACTGGACTGCCTCAGCCTCATAAGGTGCTGCCTGGCTCAGGTGAGCAAGTGCTGCCGCAGGATGGGAAAGTCCTCTTGGAATCAAAAATATTACAACTGGCTGATTAATAAAAACAATTATAACAAAATATTGTAAGACAAAGCAGTACTAGAATAATCAGAATTCTTTTACTGCCCAGACTGAGAACCCAAATCCCATCTCTCTACTATCTTTCATAATCCTTCTAAACAACTGCTTAAATTTTCTATTTAGTTTTCAAATAAGGAACTTCACCTAAGTCCTCTATACAGCTTTTGAGGAACTTTACTGTCTCTTTATGATTGACTTACAAGAGAATCACTCCACCCTAGCCCATGACCTTTTACACTATCCTTCACATCTCCACCCTAATCCTCAACTTTATTTTACCCTCTAAGATGTCTTGGTAAAAATGAAGGTCATAGAAAGGAATTTTATTTTTAGCCAACCATCACTAAAAAAAGTTAGCTTTAAATTTTATGGACTTATCTTAATTTTAATAGATCAATAATGTTATAATCTTAGCTGAAGGTCTATATGACCCAAAATGCTCTCAGAAAAAGATTGCGATCTCAGCCCAATTCATATGTGAATTGCCTGCCTAAAATAAACTTCTGCTGACAGCAGAATAGAAAGACTTGCACCCAACTCCCTTGTCTTCCTTGTGCCTGCTCCCTTTTCCCCCTTTACCCCCTTTTTCCCCTGTTAGGAATCTCCCCTCCCAGACACCGCTCCCACCTTGAGACCGTGCCTGTTCCGCTCCCCAATAACCCATGATAGGGGAACGAAGAGTCTCCAACAGATATTCTTTTTTGGAAAAAGTTGTTTGGAAAAGAGTTATCACTGGGGAAAACGAAGGGTGCTGACCCAAGAAGAGCCATGTCGATGGCCAGCTCAAGGACATGGTAGAGAGAAAGGGAGGGTGCCATCCCCATACCAGCCCCCCTGCTGGGCCCAGTAGATCTTACCTGAGGCCAGGACACGCAGGGTCTTGGCCACGCCCCCCCAGGGCGCACCCAAGGACACGAAAGCGCGAATATACTTGTCCTTCCAGGCCTGCGGCTGCCGCTGCAGAAAGTAGAGTGTGTACATGTTGCCCATACTATGGGCCACCAGCACCACCGGGCCCCCATACAGCTGGTACATCTCCTCGATCATCTCGCGCAGGGCCAGGAAGTACGGCCCGTTTTCATCTGCAGGCCAGAGCCGGGCAGGGGTCAGGCAGGAAGGGTCCTGGGCCTGATCCATGGACCACTTCTCAGGGCAGACCCAGGACCAGGAGGTGGGGAGTAAGCTGAAATCAGTGGGGACAAGGTGCTTCCCTGGATTTCCATGAAGGAAGGAAACAAAGAGGCTCCTTTCTCCCCCTCCGCCTTAAGATCTCTCCCCAGGACTCAGAGGCCCAGACATCCTGGGTGACAGTGGAGAAGGACAGACTGGACTGGCCAAACGTGGTGATTCTAGACACTGGGCTAGACACAGGGCCGGAAGAGATCACAGGGTTTGTGGTGGCTGTGACCACGTATCCCCACCTCCCAAGACCTCAGGAAGGAAATGCTTACTTGGAGCTCGGCGCCAGTCATAGGGGGCCCCCCGGACATCCTCATCCCGTGTATAGCCCCAGCTCACGAGGCTTTCCACCATGATATGGAAATAGGAACCTGCAGACAGAAATGCATAGGACTAGGGAAGGAACAGCAACTGTCAGCTACCACGTGGAGCCTGCCACGGAGGCCGTGCACCTACCACAGGGAGGTCCTGGAGGATGGCTAGTGGGCCCCAGCCCACCCTGAGCAGAGACGGCTCACAGGCTACCCCTTCAAACACACAGGGTTTCTGCCTCTCTGCGAGTCCAGCAGCGCCCCTAGCCCCACTTCCTAGAGGACATGAGTAAGGCTACACACCGAGGCTGCTTTTGCTGGGGTCCAGGAACTCCAGGGAGAAGGTCTTCCCAAAGCCGGGGACACGCACATCCACACCTTCGGGAAACTGGGTGGCCCGAGATGTTTTGTTGTAGACCAGCCTGTCAGGAGGGGACACTGGTGACCCAGAGGTGACACTAAGTCTGGTGTGTTGCTGTTCTGTCCTGAGTTACACTCCCTTTGGCTTGGTTAGATGTAGAGAAGAGACCAATTAAGTCAGTAAAGCACAGATCAGTAACCTCCAAAAGGGGGTTCCCACCAAGGGCCATCTAAAGACAGATCCCAGGGTCTCTATCCAGGCAACACTTCCTTCGTGATCTCACCCACCCACAACGCAGGTCTTAGATCTAGTTAGGAGAGGGAAGCGCCAGGTCTGGCTGTGCCGTGAACATTACACTTGACCCCCAAAGGCAAGCAGCCTAACCTCAGGGGCGCCTATCACCACCTCTCCACAGATCCAACTCCTATCACCCAGCACAACACTTCACAGGGCAAAGAGTACAGCAAATGACAGAACTAGACAGAAAGATACAGCCCAGGGCTTGAGCTCCTGAGGCTGCCTTGTGTCTGAGAGAGCAAGGCCTGGAAAGGTGAGCCGAGGAAAAGCTCTGTGCTGGGCTGGAATTTTCTGCTGACACCAAAGAGGCAAATGTGCCCAAGAAAATACAGGTTCGTGCTCCCCGACTCCCCCCACCCCACATATCCACTAAAGAGCAGCCACAGAAAACTGAAAGGATCCTGGACCCTCCCTGGTGGCTCAACAGGTTAAAGTGCAGCACTGTGAAGCAACAGCCACTTCAGCGCAAGTTCGATCCCTGGACAGGGAAGTGACCCACATGGCACAGCAGACCTCTCTGATCTGTCTGCCGCTCCCCTCAGCAATGTACTTTGTAGATCGGCCTGTTCTGCTCCCCACTCTGCTTCTGGTGAATCCTCTCACCCGCTGCACCTCTGGCCTGTACCCCAGTTCTTTATGCATAAATAAATAAATCTAAAGATTTGACAAATAATTGACACCAGTCCAAATAATAGGTCCTGGGAGGGCCCACTTTTTCCAGGCAACTCTGTGGATTACTCTAACAGTCACTTAGCAAAGTTCAGAACATTGTTCTGGAAAGCAAAAGGAGTTCTGTGAAAGATGAGAGTCTAAACAGGTAAACAGGCCACCAAAGGTAGACAAGCCCCGCTTGTTATCGGCCTGCACTTCCAATCAGCACGTGTCGGGGACAAAAATAGAAATGCAGATCGACCTCCCAAAACAACCCTGGTCAAACACAGAGGAGGGTCAACAAAACAGGCGCAAACACGGGGGAAAGAGGGTGCCCGGAGAACTAGAGCGTCTCTGCGGGGGAAAATGTAACTTGTGGGATTCAGCTCAAGCACACAGTGAACACCAATGTGCTCTGGGCTCTACTACCATAAAGACAAGAGAGACAATCCCGCCTTCCGGGACCTCGGTCTGGGAAAGCAGCTCAGCTCAGCCTCAAAGTACTGTGGTCACATCGGGGTCTGCACTTAGCTGAGTGACCTTAAGCAATGTTGGACTCTCTGAGCTCACAGATGTCCTGCTTTTCTGAGAGGTTTGAAAACCGTCCACTGTAAGATTAAACGAAAGGAAGTAGGTAAAATGCACAGTGACTGTATTGCATTCTCTTGCGTTATTATCTCATTTGGGGAAACGGATATGTGGCTGGTGGGAAGGAAGGGTTAGCTGTTCACATGGGTGGAAGGGAATCTGAGCAAATGGTAGAGAGGAATATTCCAGGCCAAGAGTACAGCAGGTGCAAAGGCCCAGAGACATAATGTGTTCCAGGGAGAACAAGCAGCGGAAGATGTAGGTGTGGTCAAGGGGGAGTGGGCAGCCTGAGGGTAAATAGGGGCTGCAGCCTGAGGACAAGCCCTGGACTAGAGAGGGGAGGGACAGGCGGGGAGGGTGAGAAGCAGGAAAGGGAGGAAAGCTCTGTCTGGAGAGGGCAGGGGTGGTGCCAAGCAGACTGAGGAAATGGGGACTAGAGGTCAGTGACTTCAAGGCCTCTTGAGGAAATGGCCTCCTGGAGGCCTCCTGAAGCTGGGCAGCACCCTGTCTGCACTGCAGTCCCCACCTGATATTGTCAATCCAGCAGTCAATGATGACAGGCAGGAGCAGCTCCAGGTTGAGCCAGAGTGTGAAGTAGCTGTCCGTCTTCTTGGAACAGAGATAGTGCACCACCGATGGCTTGTCCAGCTTTGCCTCCAGCTGGTTGCCCAAATCTCCAGGCACTGCAGTGGGGGGTGGGGTGGGCACAGAGTAGGTGTGAGGACCTGGGGACTTGGCATTCTAGAGACCCTTGAGGCTTGCACCCACAGGCCTTCTACCCATGGCTGTCCTAGCCACAGAGCAGACAGGGCCTTGTTCACTGTGAAAGAAGGCGGGGAAACAGGACAGAGTTGGGACACTTAACCAAGCAAACTGAATCCCGAGGACACATTCCAGGCAGCCTTGTGGTGTTGGAGGGTGAGCAAAAGAACCTCAGTTGAGAGAAGCCCATACTTGCACCTGGTGTTTTATCTAAATGATAGAACCCAGGTTCCAAAGGGCAGGTCATCTGGGAGGGCTGAACAGCCTGGCAGTTGGGCCCTGTGTTGGAGATGGTACCCTGAGACAACATACCATTCCAGCCACAGGTGGGGCGGTGCCCAAGCCCCAAGGATGGCTACCCGCCACTTGGCCAGCTTGTCCAGTCCACGCAGAGCCAGGGGCCCTCATGACACTCAAACCCATCCCCACTGATTCACAGCCCAACATCAAACTCTTCAGTTATTTACTTCTAGTGACCCCTCACGTCTAACCTGCTCAACACTTCCTAAAGCCTCCCCGTGAGGAACCCTGATCACTAAGTCAACAGGTTCTCCTGGCCTTCAATGGGCTACCACTGTGAACCCAGCCCTGATGATGGCCCTCCCTGAACACCGTCCCCCAGAGTCTTGAGGGAAGTCATGGAGACCTGTGTGATACCCGCTTTCACCTCCTATCATGGTACAGGTGCGGAAAATGGGGAGTCCCAAGCATGACAGCCCAAGCATGGCACGCCTGTGGACTAGGCAGAGCAGAGATCTTGGGCACCATCGCCTCCAAGAGGAAATGGCCAAAAGAGGAAGTCTGCAGAGGTGCTCAGCCAGGGTGACCTTTGCCCTGGCCAGGCTGTGCAGCCTCTAAAATAGCAGTCACTTCTGATCCCCATTTGCACCTAGAACAAGGACAAAAGCCAGCCACGTGCTTTTTCACGTCAAATAACACTGGGAGAAGATATCCTTATTATGACCACTTTACAGACGAGGAAACTGAGGCTGGGAGAAGTGGAAATGGCTTACTACAGTCCCTTCCCCCTGTTCAGGGTCTTGTTATATAACCCTTCTCTTGCCTCTGCTTCCCCTACCACAAATTCTAGTCCCTCTCATAGAAGCTGGTCACCCTTAGATACTGACCCTCTGATGGGCAAACTCAGGTCTCTGCTCTGCACCTAGAAGCAGCTCATCTGATGCACACCCCGGGGTTCCCAGGAAGAATGCCAGCAGCCCCACTCCGAGAAGCTTGGCAGAGTAGCATTCCAGTTACTGTGGGGCTCTGGAGAGCCCTCTGCTGTGACCTAGGATAATCAAGGACTGCATGAATTAGCACCAATCCAGGTGAAAAGTCTGCCTGGAACAGACACTTCTGAATACCACATTCTTCACAATCAGAACTCTGTAGGCCCACCCATCACCCTTGGGGGCCCCCGAGACAAAGACCACATGATCCAATCAGTCATGGTCATGAGCTCTACACATTTCACTCCTTCCCATAATCCATTCTAGCGATTGGGACTGCTCACCTCCCTCGCTGACATGTAGTTCACTTTGCCTCAAACTCTTTCCTGGCCTCAGTTCTAACTACATACTCCAGGAATCCTTCTCCGACATGCTCCTAGCCAGACTGGATCAGTAGATTCTCTGTGCCTGCCAAGTGCAGAGCTCATCTCCAGGAATCACTATTCATCCCATCCTCCAAGCTGAGGGAACATAATATGGTCAAGGCTGCCTAAATCCTTTGGTGAACTTGGGCACAGCAATCCCCCTGGAGCATTTCCTGGCCCAGAGCTGCCAGCCAACTCCACCCTTCTGTAATCTGCAGCATCCCCATTAAAATACTACCAGCAGATGCTTTTTTTACAATAGGAAAGACATGAAATCAACCCAAATGCCCAAAAATAGATAACTGGATTAAAATGATGTGGTACATATACACAATGGAATATTACTAAGCAATCAAAAACAACAAACACATGTGCCCTTTGCAGCGACATGGATGGAGCTGGAAGGGATCATGCAGTGAAATAAGCCAGAAAGTGAAAGAAAAATACCAGACGGTTTCACTCATAGCAGGAGTATAAAGGACCCGGAGGGGGGGGGGAATAATGAACACCTATATACCAGAGACATTTTATGGGGTTGGAGTGGGGAATGGGATCAAAAATGGGGGAGGTGGGAGGGAGGAAGTGCACTGGACTATGGTGATGGCACACAGGTAAAGATTTGGTGATGGGAAGCCCATGGGGATTACAACCGAAATGGGAAAAGACACAAAATGATGTAAAAATAAACTATTATATTATTTAAAAAAAATACTACTAGCACAAAGAGTACAGGGGTCATGCCACAACAGACTCCTAATGTACATAAACCTCCGCACGCCTCTGCCTTCAGGAGCCGTAGCTGCCCATCAACACACTAGCTCTGAATGAGGCATCTAAGACACCCCCTGCAGAAAACACTATGACTCCTATGGTTGTTGTCAGGGCCGGGACCAAGTGGGGCAGACGGAGGAGGTAGGTCCCCTGACCAAGGTGGTCTAATCTGACTAGGTCTGGCAGGGGAATACAACCATCCCCAGACATCTGTTAACCACCAGCGTTGTGTTGTCTTTAGCTATCCTCAGTTCTCCTATTCCTCCCAGAGGGCAAATGTTGCCAATTTGATAAATCGGGGGAGAGGAGCCTTGTTGGCAAGATAGGAGTGCAATCCTTTCCCCAAACGGCTTCCTTTCAGTAATGCCCTGTTAAAATGCAGGGCTGGAACTATCTAAGGAGACAACCTCCTAGGCAAGCCCAAGTCAACGCTGAGACCCCAGGGGGAAAACCCGGGGCCACCCTAACAAATCCCAAGCACCCTCAAAGGACCGCGGTCTTACAAGCTAAAAAAATGAGGATTAAATGAGGCAAAGCTTCTCTGTTCTCTGCGTGAACAGAGAAAAGAACGAGCAGCTGAACATAACCCTCCCACCTATCCCCCACTCTACAGAGCAGGAGAGGAAAGGCTCACCACAACCGCACCCAGCATGGCGGGAGATGCACCCACCGACCCCGGGGGCGACAGGGCCAAACCCGGGCTTTAAACACACGAAGAGTGGAAACACCGCCCCGCCCGTACCCCCCGAGCCTCACCCAGCACCACCGGGGGGTGACGTCCGGTCGGGAGCACTGGGTCTACGAGCAGCAGGAGGAGCACGAGGCCTCCCGGGAGCAGCGCGGCGCGGTAAGGGCAGAGGAGGAGACCCATGGCGGGAGAGAGCAGCTCCAGGTCCAAGGAGCAGATTCTGCGCTCGCAGCTGGCGCCTAGGCCCGGGCGGTGGCGACTCACTTAACCCCGCCGCCCGCTACCACCTACAGCGGCCGAGCCAATCAGGCTCCGCCTCCCGCAACCGCCGACCAATAGAAACTCGCCGATGGCCGCAGCCCTCCCAGTCGGAGCTCGGCGCCGCGCCCCCGCCCCGCCCCGCCAGCTCATTGGGCGAGCGGCGAGCCGAGCTCATCGATCAACCGGGACTTCGCGGCTTCCAAACCTTCAGCCGCTCGCGGTCACTGTGTACAAAGCCCAGGGCCCGGTAGCACAGATGCAAGGCGCTTGACCCTCACCTGCGGCTCCTGACGCCCCCCTGACCTGGGATCTGGAACGGGCCTGGCCGAGCTGAGACTCAGGGTCCTTTGCTGGCCTCTGCTGAGCGGCTTGGGTCCAGCAAGGGGAAGGGAGAAGAGATTCTGGGGCAGGTGTTGGGCCTGGAGCTGACTGCACCTTTGTGCAGTTCCCACACCGGTTCTTCGCTCCCTGCTCCCAGGGAACACTTGGGTTCAGGGGACACTTGGATTCAGGCAACCCAGGCAGCTCTGGATAATGGGGATGTGGCTGGGGAGAGTGCAACTGGTAAAGGCTAGGTCAGTGTGTTCTGTTTACTAGTGAAAGTAACCCGTTTTCACAGGAGCAGGGTGGCGGCAACCCCCCAGACAGAACATTGTCCAACCAGGTTGAAAGTGGCTTTGAACTTTGATCCTGTGCCATGGCCCATCTGCACATACCCCAGCAGAGGAGGAGGGCATCAAAACTGCTATTCCCATTCCTCACTCCAACCCCAGGCGAACCTGGAAACAGAGAACAGAGACCCTGTGCGGAGGATCTGGAATGAACAGAGTAGGCAAAGACTTGACAGCCACTTGTCTGGGGTAGGGAGACCAGCCTGTTTGGGGGCTGGAGGTCTTGATGCTCTACAGCTCTCCTGAGGGACAATCATACTCTGCATATCCCTGGTTGGTCCCACCAACTCTGTTTGCTCCTATTTCCCCTCCTTCCTCCTCTTTGTCAGTAATTAACTCTTTCCAGACTCTCTGAGTATACCCTCAGTGAATGAACTCACCATCTTGGCCTGCTCCTTCTACATTCTTAATATGAAACAGATTTGTGATTGGAGTGACCTCCCCTCTCTCTCTCTCTCTTTTTTAAAGATTTATTTATTTGTGCATATAGAACTGGGGTACAGGCCAGAGGTGCAGGGGTGGTGAGCAGATTCACCAGAGACAGAGTGGGGAGCAGAACAGGCTGACTGACAAAGTACACTGCTGAGGGGAGCAGCGGGCAGGCCAGGAGAGGTCTGCCACGCCATGTGGTCACCTCCGGGTCAGGCAGGCATTGAACTCAAGCAGAAGTGGCTTTCGCTTCTCAGTGCTGTGCTTTAACCCCCTGCGCCACCAGGGAGGGCCCTCTCTCTCTTTTTTCTTAAGATTTATTTATGCATACAGAACTGGGGTATAGGCCAGAGATGCAGGGGTGGTGAGAGGACCCACCAGAGACAGAGTGGGGAGCAGAACAGGCAGATCAACAAAGTACAATGTTGAGGGGAGCAGCAGACGGCCAGGAGAGGTCTGCCATGCCATGTGGTCACCTCGGGGACGGGGATTGGACTCATGCTGAAGTGGCTTTAGCTTCTCTGTGCTGTGCTTTAACCCGCTGCACCACCAGGGAGGGCCCAAGTTAGGCCATGACCCAGGGAAGCCTTGCCTCCCTTACGTCCATCCCAGGCCCCAGTGGAGGGGTTGCTGAAGATCTATCTGGTGTGGGAGACCACAGAGACCCTTCTGTCAGGGCTAGGGACAGGTGGGAATCCAGAGCTAAGGCTTAATTAGGAGAGGGATGGGGGAGGAGATCAGGATGGCCACCTTGGACTCTGGGCACTGGTCTTGTCAGCCTAGCAGCCTCAGGTGACCATGGGCCCCTTGCATGGTCACCCTGTCCCCCAGAGCCATTCCCTGATGCCCCATGCTCACAGGTGATAAGAACTGTGCTGGCACTGTGGAGAGAGGTCAGAAGGGGTCCATCCACATGAACTCCCCCACTACAGATCTGGGGTCATCCTGAGTGGTTGATATCTCAAGTTTCAGATCCACAATCAGGTGGCTATAGAGTCTTACCGCTCTACCCTTCCAAAGCCAAATTACCTTTACCCTCAGAGTAACCTCCTCCCTGATATCTCAAATTATGTCCTCGTAACTGTGGCTTGTTCTCCACATGCCAGGACGACAACATTAAACATTTGACCATTTGGCTTTGAAGCAGATGTCTGACTCATTCAAATAGCCCTGCAAGTGTAACCTGTCCTGTTACGGCCACAGTTCCTGGCCTGCAGTAGGTACTTAACATATGTTGAATGACTAAATGAATGATACATGCACTATAACCCTCCCCCCTTTCTAGAACAGGGTTCTGGTGTCTGGAGGAGTTCAGGACTGAGAGGTCTGCAGGCCTAGATGTGAGCTCTGGAAAAGATTGGGGGAAAGGAAGGGCATTTCTGTGGAGGGAACTTTCTGGGCAAAGGCCAGAAGTGGGAATAAACCCAGTGACTAAGAGCTAGGCCAGTTGTGGTCTCTTCCTCATGTGAGACTCCCGCAGACAGTCTTTGCCACTCACATGCCTCCTTCTCCTCCTCCCCCCTCGCTCCTCTGCCTGAACCAGGCTGGTGAGAAACCCAACTAAAAGTAGGGTTTCTGAGCTGCTTTGGTAACCAAACCAGTACTGAGCCCATTTGGAGATTAACTGATTCTCCCTAATGCTCGTGGCTCAGCATGGGTTTTCTGCCACAGCCAAAGTTTTCCGGCACGATGAGAGGCTACACGCTGCTCCAGTCATGATAGAACACTGGGGGCCAAGGGACCCTGAACAGGACATCTAACCTCAGGAAGGCTGTGTGTAGAAAATTATTAGTGGTGGGTCCTGGGGGGTGTGAGGGGTGGGGATGGAGGGTGGAGATATAGTGGGAGTTTGCCAGCAACACAGAGGGATGAGTAGTACATAGGTGAGTGTTTCAGGCAGGGAAGTTAGCATGTGCAGCTGCCTGGGGACCTGAAGAATCACAGCACCAAGCCGGGTACCTGGTGGTGAGAGTGGAATGGAAAGGTTGAGGATTCTAAACATGGAACATAAAAATTTGGTCTATGTGGCCATGGCCTTCAAGTCCTCCTGGAAGACTGGGCTGGAGCCCTCGCGGGCTGTATTCTGCCAGGATTTGCCCCTTTAGCCATGCTTAAAGGCAGATGGGTGATCCTGCTCTCTTCCTGCTGCACGAGATGGGCCTGTTGGGCAGCTGGACAGTCCTGCTGTTGCTGATGAGGTCACAACCTTACGCGTGCTCGAGCCCCACCTACTCTCCGCCCCTTGACAGTTTCTCAGCTCCTGCAACTGCTAGCCACACCCACAACTAGTTTAAGAGCCAATGGTGCTTTGCTCCCAGGGCCCTGCTGCCCAACTTCAAAAGACATTCTTGTCCTTGCAGACAAAAACAAACAAAAAAGCTTGGCCTATATCCAGGATGCCTGGAGCCAGGGGCAAGGACCCCTTCTGGGGGCGTCATCCTGGGTGGAGCCCGTCAGTGGATCACCGACAGAGTCAGTGCGCCCTCTGGTGGGCACCTAGAGGAGGTTCAGCAAAGATGCCGAGATGGGAACCGGAAGGGGGTGAAGGGAGCCTGGGACTTTACTCTGGAGGTCGGGGACATAAGGGCCAGCTGGAGGCTCCTGGGCCCTAGAAGTGAGGATGGGCCTGGGCGTGAGTGTAGATCCCGATAGGCGCACCTACCTGCAGGCGATTCCTCTCCCACAGTGGGATCTAGAAGAGAGCACTTTTACGTCACCTCTAGATTTCCTGGAGATCCATGAAGTCAGCCACACTCCTGCCCAGCACCAGGATCCCTCTGTCTGCTGAGGCTTTCAAGTACAAGCAGATGGAAGGCCAGCTGCCTCTGGGAAGAACTGAAGGGCAGCGGTGAGGATGAGATTCTTGGAGCATGAGGACTGTTTCAGTTCCTTTCTCCCCAGCACCTGTGTGAGCTTTGGTAAAAGGCATCAAGCTTGGTCACGGGAGCCTTGGCTTACCTCTCTCTTGTATCCCATCTCCTTAATCCGATTCATTCATTCATGATTGGTGGGTCCTAGGAGTGTGACAGGGGACATTTATCAGTGAACTACAGAAATCTCAGAATACACAGGTAGCCTGCTAAGAAGTGAGGTGCCTGGAGAGGAGAAAATCTGGAGGAAATACAGGTTAACTAGGTCAAGGGCGGGTTGGGAGATGAGGAAAGGGTGCAGAGGAAACTAGCACAAAGGCCCTGTGCCCCAGGGAGGGTTACTCAGAAGAAGCAAACTCTCAACCATGCATTCACTAAGTCTTAAAGAGCAACTACTCACTGCCAAGTACAGTGATAGGTGCTGGGATTGAGACTATCCTCAAGATCTGATATTGGGGAGTAGTGGGTGTCTTGTATGGGCACACTAAATGGTTCGTGGTATTAGAAATTGTTTTGGTGCAAGCAGAAAAGTAATGTACGAACCCAGCCTCCCTGGTGGGACAGGAGTTAAAGTCGCACTATGAAGCCATCTGCAGCCACGGCAGCAGAGTTCCATAGCTGGCCAGGGAGTTGGTCCACAAGGCGCAGACCTCTCCTGCTCACCAGCTGCTCTCCTCAGCAATGCATTTCAGTTCTGTTCCCCACTCAGTCTCTGGTGAGTCCTCTCACACCCTCCTGGCTCCCCACCCAGCCCTGCACCTCAAGGGTTCTTGTATGCATAGATAAATTTATCCTTTTTTACAAAAAGATTGTATTTGTTGATGTGTACAAGAACTGGGGTACAGGCCAGAGGTGCAGGGAGTGAGAGGATTCACCAGAGACAGAGTGGGGAGCAGAACAGGCAGATGATGGAGTGAAATACACTGCTGAGGGGAGCAGTGAGTGAGACAGGAGAGTTCTGCTGTGCCATGTGGGTCACCTCCCTGGCAGGAGATGGAACTCGAACAGCAGTGGCTGTGGAGTGCT